AGTCAACTCTTTCTATAACGAACTGACGGGTTCAGGAAGAAAAAAAAATTCACTATAAAAAATTACTATTTTTTTTAAGGACCTATTGCACTTTCTATACAGAACTATTATAAAAATTTTAAAATTTTAAGTTCGTTATACCTGGAGTAGACTATATAATGATTATTGCAAAATATAAGTCAAAAATAAAATCAGAATGAAGAAGATGAAAGTATTGAAGCAATAGATTTATGCTTAAAGAACTTTTAGCTTGTCCATCTATGACAAATATTATAAAGACGCTCAATCTCTCAGAAATAACCATAATTAAAGGTGCCAAGTTTTATCTTAACATAAATTGTCATGTAAACCACATGAATGACATATAAATAGTACTGTAATATTTGATCAACACTAATTGTCACTTTGTATCTCTTATTGTAAAATCTGATACTTAAAAGTTTTCTCTGTATAGCACAGCACTCATAACATTATCGTCATTTAACAAAAATATACACATTATTACATAATCGATCATTACTGAAGTCAAAAACTTATTGAATCAATCAAATAATTATTCGGTTAATTTATTACTCGATGTCCCAAAAAACAACGAAAACCGCTGTAAAACAATTTCAGCCAACGATACTACTCTTAGAAATGCGTCGGTAACACACCTTGCATCGTGAATCACATCCTTTACTTAACCCCCTTTACTTAACCCCTGGGAGCAACTGATGCCCGGCCTATTTATAGCTGTTCTCATAACGATAACGGCAGTTTTATAATTCAAGAGAATCTGGCAAAAATTGACCGACCGAATATTTGCCGATTTACAACTGTTCTCATAAATTCTGGGACAACTAATAAAATTGTTCGGCCGTATTCGGTAAATTTTTTGGATTCGGTGTTATCGGATTACTGCTAAGGACTGGAACCGCCTAAAATTTTACTTAATCGTTTAATTGTTTAACCGTTTAACTTGGCCGGCATTAAAATAATTCCGGCCCATGACCAACATAATTCTGCCCGGAGTTATGGAGCAATTTTTAAACGGTTAAACGGTTCCAATCCCTAATTACTGCAACACCGAATTGCAGCTGTTTTCATAAATTCTGGAAAATCTAGCAAAAATTAGCCGACCGAATATTTGCCGATTCGATAAGTTTTTGATTCGGCAGTGATAAACTTGTGATTCGGATGTAATTACATCCGAATCAATAGTTTATCAAAACATAGTCGAATCGGCAAATATTCGGTCTCTAATTTTTGCAGAATTTATGTAAACAATTTACCGAATTCAGCCGATCAATTTTTTATCAGTTTAGGGATGGATTGGTCTTCGTAAAGACGGTAAAAACCACGGACCGAAATGATTCTCAGTCCCTGATCCGTAATCGTCCGGTGTCATGCTCAAAATTTTCTTTTTGGTTAGTAGTTTGTGGCATACGTAATGGGTGGTTTTAACCCTCAGCAAGGAATTAAAACCCCTATATGAATTAAAGATGTATAAGAGTGTAGTTTCAATTTTTGAAGGGAAGAACGATTGTTAATAGTATTTGGTATTGTTGTATATTTTGATATATTGATTTATGTTTATAACCCGGAATTATGTTAGTTTATTGATTAAAAATCATTGACCTTAATCACTATTGTTCACAATCGAAGCTAAATTGGTTAAAGACCCTATAAAGCTCTTCCTCGGTCATAACATCGGCCCTGGTCCTAATTATGGTCAGATGATAATTATACCTACTAATAAAAAATTGATAAGATAAAGAAAATAAATCATAACGAATAATAGATTTTTTTATAACTCTTTTAATCATAACGATAACAAAAATTTCATGATTTCTCCCATTTCTTCTATTTCATCCACTTTTACTTACAAATAAACAATCAAATAGACTACTAAATGAACTAGAAAAATATTTGCTAGTACCAGAATTCAAATCTGTTGGTATGGTGGCAAGCACAAGTAGAATAACTACCCTAAGCCTAATCGCAAGAGATCATTTGGCTATACAAGCTACCAGTGCAGAGCAACACTACGCTTAAAAAGTAGCTTTAAAGGGAATTTGCAAATCGGATAGTTAAACGGTTCACTGACACTCATTTCGTAGACATAACACTTAATCGACAACAATTCACTGCCATTTCTATTTCATCGAAACTTATTTACCGATAAGTTCATTCCACCGACAATTTATTTCACTGAAACTCATTTCACCGACAAAATAATTCTGGTCATTGTCGTTAAGGTTGGTGGAATTTATAAAAAAAGCTTGTATGTGAAATGAGCTTCGGTGAATTAATTATCGGTGAAATAAACATGTATGTGAATTGTTGTCGGTGAAATGTTATTTTTAGGAAATCAATGTCGGTGAAGTGATATATATCCATAATTAACTATCCATGTATTTAATTCTTTAATGTTAAATTAACTTTGAAGCTTTGTATATAAATTTACAAATTAGATAGTTAAATGTCTATATGTTTAATTATTAATATTAAATTAGCTTCGCATGTAAAATACATAATTATATTTATGTATTTAAAATTTTATGTTAAGCGTTAAAAAATTATGAGGTCCGATTCTAGGGTTTAACCGAATTAATAAATATTTACTATAAAATCAGTTCAAAGGGGCCAAGACGGACCGATCCATCCCTATAGTGAAAGTCGATTCTGAACAACCTCAATTAATAATTTAAAGTGAGTTCGATAATAAAATTTTTTATTGTTCAGTGTTACAATTGTTTTCATAAATTTTGGAACTACTGATAAAAATTTGATCGACCGAATTCGATAAGTTCTTGAATTCGGTGTTATCGGAATTGGATTTTCGGCACGGCATTATAGTAATCGGATAATACCGAATTCGAAAACTTATCGATTTCTATTAGCTGCCTCAGAATTTGAGAAAGCTATAAATTCAAATCCTGTCCGAGTGTTTTCCAAGCGACAATACACACTGGGAGTATAACTATGTCTAATTTGAATCCAAAAAAAAAATAAAAAAATTTGAATTGCATATTTACTTTTTCCAAATTTTTCTTGACCTCTATGCTCAATTACGCTAATTCACAAAAAATTTTGACACGTATAAAAGTTATCATTCCCAAATTAGTCTTAGCTTACTAAATATGTGATTTCTCTGTTATACCAATATAAAGAACTTTGAAACATCAGAAAATATTTGAAGGTCTAGACTTTAGATCGAGATTTTGTTGAAGTTTCTCACAAGTCATGAAATAACAGTTTATCCTTGTAAATCCATAAGTATTAAAAAAATAAATATGTAACTTAATAAACAGAAGATCAATTCAAGCATGCGAAAATAAAAGAGCTACTTAAATTTATTAACTTTACTAATATTAACGTGGTTGTTCCTTCAATCAATAAAATGCTAAAAAATGATACACGTGTAATTGATAACTGACATAAATTTAAATGACGTGGAACATCAATACATTTTTTTTCTTGGAAGAACATTTATTCTCTAACATAAAGCGTATTCAATTGTAAAATAGATATTTTTCTGTCAATTGGTTAATCGTGACTGATAAATAAAAAGACATGTACGGTATATACATACTACGTCAACGTATTACGTACGGCATATCATAAATGTGTACAAGGTTGGTGGCGCAGATCTCCTGAACTACAAATCAGATTTCAAGATTAGGTGTCGCGTAACACGATCAGGGCAAACGTTCGTTCAGCCAAAAATTAGACATAGTTCAAAAATCAGCATAAAAAACCAGCTTTTGTGCTTTAGCAAAAAAGTTTTAGTTGAACAATTTTACTATGTGAACTATCCTTCCCTAGATCCTAACTTTGACCCTAACTCTAACCTTATCGAATTTTAAGAATTTAGTCTTCGCCGCCAACCTTACGATATGCTTACGTACGTACGTATGTACGTACACGCGGAGTTTTTTAATTCCCAACAATATACATTTTTTATATTATTTTTAAAATAGCTCTATATATGGGGAGCCCACAACAAAAGGATGCTTCGGGCCAACCAATCAAATTCCGAGACTTTATATAATAACTAACCAACAAATAGATACGTATAATATTGACATACCCAATTTTGGTTATGATTTTCTTAAAATCACATGATTGCCCCCGAAGCATCCTTTTGGTGTGGGTTTCCCCATTTATGGAATAATAAGGAATGATATGGAATGATATGCAATGCTTGTGAAATCATGAGCGTGATAATGATCTAATGAAGATCATGTTATCACGATGCAGTAAAACCAGTTTATAGACCCTGTACAATAATAAGCATAAAATTGTAAACTCGAAAAAACATTAATCAAGTAGAAAAATAAATAAATAACTGTTTAATGTTTAAATGGTTTCAAAAAAAGAATCTTTTTTAAATGCTAATTACGAAGATCTCATTGATCCGGAACAAATTCTGACCAATCCAATTGACATTTCTTTTTTTTTAAAAAAAAAGGAGAGGTGGATCATCTTTATCTTTCATAAACCATACTTTACACTGTGAATTTTAGTAAATTAGAAAATCTGAATTACGTTGTTGGTAAATTGTTAATTTGTCATGACATTGTCGTTAATCCGGATAATAGACATTTATGTAACATTAAAAATTGGACATACATCCACTTTTAGAAATTTATAAAATTGATAGAGGTTTTATCGTAAGAAATGGACTAAGATACAAATAATTTTGTAGCGTTTTTTTGATCAACAATAATCACTGTCACAATGAAAACTAAAAATCTGCACTTTTTTATGATTAATCTCAATTAATTTATTAACTATTAACGTTAATAATTTGCCAAGACTTCCGATTTTTAGTTTATTTTATCAATATAATAAAAGTGGCAATAGAACCGGTAGATAAGAGCACATCGGTAAAGTAATTAAAAAAAAATTGTAAATCACAAAACAATATACTAATAATGAATTTAAAAATATAATAAATAGCCGGAATAGATTTATTTCTCCTATTAGATTATATTTCACCTATTGAAAAAGACATGGAAGAGATCAAAGTTATTGAGCCTGTTGCAAATTCAGTTTCTATAGATGTCACTGCCAACTCTGAATTAAACGTTAGCAATAATAGTAGTGAAGTTGTTGAACATTTTACAAATTCTGTTTCTTTAAGTATCACCGAGTTAAACGGTAGAAATAGCATTGAAATTAACGATAACGACGAGAAAGTCGTTTTAAATGACTTGGAAGATGACAAGATCGAAATTATTAAACCTACTACTAATTCAATCTCTAACATTGCCAATAACACTGAAACTGACCATTCTGACATTGAAGATAATAGTACTTCCTTGGAGATGTTGATACAAATGATATACTCTAAAGAAGATACACTTCCTACAAAATTAGAATGCTTGAATTTTATTATGCCTGAACTAACCAAAGAAGTGTCTGATAAATTCATGGACAAACTCATTGATTTAAATGGTATTAATCCTGATGCAAAATTTAAAGTGGACAGATTAAAACTTATGGATTGGCTTAAAAATATTTGTTACACTACCAAGAACATAAATATTACAACAACAAAATCTGCGTATAGCTATGTTATACATATGATTGCAATGATAGATTTTATTTTAAAAAATCCAAATAATTCAAAAACTTCAGATTTCATTACGTATTATAATTCAACTGAAGAGTCAAATGACAATCCCTTAGGCAATATAAATTTCCATTATCCAAACTATATTTTTTGCAATTTATTAATGATCAATAATGGAAATATTGATCAAGATATATGTTTTGAAGATATAGTTTATTCGGCGTTTCCATGTAAACGTAATATTTGGGAACGAAAAAATAAAAGATTCTTTCCTAGGATTAAATATAAATTTGATTTACCTTTAAGTCGAATACACGATCTGGGACTAGAAATTGAATCCACAAAACACTTTAATCATCATCTCTCTCTTAAAGGAAAAACTATCAAAATTTTATCTTATGATTTGGCAACCGAACAATTCATTTTAGTTTATCAATATAATCGACTGGCTCGATTGTATGGCATTCATTCCGTCGGTTTAGAAATTATGAAGTCATACTTATTTTTATTAAACAATAGCGAATCTAGAAACATTATAATTAAACGTAATATTTGGATAACTAACAATGAAATGAAATCCAAATTTGGTTCTATTAAGATTTGGACTAAAGGTTTTGGTTACTCTATTCTTTATGACAAGTTTCTTGATCTGGAAAAAAGGCTCAATTCATTTTGGTTCCGTTTCCGGATGGACATAGAATATAAACGAAACCACGATCCAATGCTATATTATTTTTTTTGGTTCTCATTAATTTTTGGTTTTATACAATTAACACATTTGACGATTGGTATTTGGTATCATTCATCGAGTTAAACCAATTTTAAATCTTCTATCACTTTGTTATATTTAACTTTATATAGTTAATAGATTAGATCAAGATCGAACAATTTTTATAAATGCTCAAAATGACTTTATATTCCGCATAATGTGCGATAATCAAAACCGCACATTTCATGATAAATGATCAAAACTGTTAACAATGTTAATATTATTTTGCGCTATATATATATATACATATAAATATGCTTAAATATATGCTTAATCACCAAGAAAGTCACTCCAACATTACGCCTATTTTTCTATAGTAATTTCTTCACATCATAATAAAAGCTCTAATCAAATTTTTATATGCACAAATCGAATAAATTTTTTAATTGACTTATGCATTTTATAGTCAAACACTTTAAGCACACATTTTTAACAAAATTAAAGCGGAAATTTACTCATAGATAATTTATAAATTATAGGGATTACGTGTCATTTCGGAAAATTTTTATATTGAACAGAACTTTTCGGAAAATTTTACCATGTAAACCCCTTGAAAACCCTCCCTCCCCCTTATGAAGTGGAGATGTAGTGTAAACCACCGAATTGAATGGGGGTGGCCTAACTGCAAGCAAATGAGACAAAACAATAAAAATCTATTATTATGCGCATCATGGTTTAGGCCTATTTGCTGCCCAAGATGAGCTTGCTACTGTTACGCCCAAACTACTACTTATAAGCCTGGGATAACTTTAGCTAAGGATATTGTATATGATTAATGACAAATGCTAATTAGTATTCAATAGTTATTGATAACTATACTTCTATATTATATTCATAATTACGTTATTAAATTAATAATTATGTTATTAAATTAAACTACGCGTGTATATATATTATATTTTTTTCAATTAAAATTTTTTCACGTAGATTATTTTAAAGACCGAAAAAAAAAGATGATAAA